TGCCTAATATTAATAACTAGCTCATTTTTACATTCATTTGGTGCTCTGCCATTTTGGCAGGTCAGTGGCATCCAGTATTTTAGAGCTGCCTATTCTGAGCTCTTCTCTTAATTTGAAAATAACTAGTGTCACCCTGTTTCATATGATGAAGAAAAACGCGCTTTTCCTTACTCTTTGTGCTTTGCCCAGAAAGCGTCTTAGTAGGTAGGCCTAGATAATTATGCAAAACCAAGGCCTAACTAAAAAATTAAAATTGTCATAGTATGTAACTCAAGTTAAAATAACACTTTTCATTACTCGTGCAGCTTAACCAAATATTATGTCATTTTAAACGACCCATTGGTATTAACATATAGTAACATCAATGTATTTTTAAAAATTAGACAGCGACAGTTCTCTCAGAAGTTGTTTTGTAGACGTTTATCTGTTGATGACCTTTTGACCTCCTGAATTCTGCAATGAGATTTTCGGGTCGATTCAGCCGAGACAGCCCGAGTGGAGTTTCATGTAAATGTTTCGTACGGAAAAAAAAATCGCGACCGGGTGGTCTAAAGCTTCAAAGTTTAAATAAATTTGAATACATATGACCGATATACAAGAAACTTTGAATTATTATTATTATTTGAATTTAAATTTGTTAAAATTCTTTTTAAGAGAAGATACTAAAAACATGCGGGTATTAAAAAATAACATAGATTTGTATTTTGGCTATAGAACGCAATCTGATTCAGTATATAAAGTAGTAGGCTTACAACATTCTCTTACTAGCAGGCCCTAGCATTTTGCAGAAACACATACATGATCATAAATTTGTCACATGTATTTAGCACAAGACTATGCGTAATAACGAATATCACGAATTTAGGGGAAAATGTATTTAAAATTAGAAGAATTTGGTTTTATTAAAAATATAAAAACGTACAGTATACGTGAATATTTAGTTCACGGGTGTAGTCAATCATGCATTTAAAATCTCTCAGGTTGGTTACTATGGGTCCGCCACTGCTGATGCAGTATTTGTATTTATTGTTGTACAGTACTGTATTGTTATTGTGTTTGGCGGATAACAGTTCTTGAAAGCTGATGAAGCAATAAAATTTAATGAATTGAATAATATTGTTCCTGATAAGGTGAAATTTGCAAAAGTAATCCTTATCATTAAGAAAATGTATCATATAATGTCCATGGTCTCAACAATTTAAAAAAGAAAGCCACTCGCTACGACCAGCGGTTCTCAGCACATGGGAACCGTATTTTTTCACTCCTAATTTGGATATTCAATCTAATTTGCATATGAACGGAAAATGTGACTGAGACCTAATTTTAGGAATTTAACCCCTTGTCATGTGTGCTCATTTAGAACAAAAACCTCTTCATTTGCTATTTTCTTATACCGTCTAGCTTAATTTCAAAATACCCCTACCCTATAAAAAGGGGGCGTGGTCATTTAATAAAGGGCGTGGTCATTTTTGGGCTGTTCGTCCCGGTGTATAGAGATTTTAGCACACATTCCATGTTATTCCTAGGGTTCATATTAGTCTATAACAGTTGAGAAATTCTCTCCTAAATGAAGTGCATACCGTAATCTTAGTCAGGTCCTAGACTATATGGTACCATCCCAATTGTAACCAGCAAATAAGCACCTTCCTGTCATACAAATATTATCTGCACCTAAATAAATTTCCAAGGATCATGGAGTAGGAGAGGGTTCTCTCCAACACTGATTTTCTCCTATAAAGTTTAGATCCGTAGCTCAGGCTCACAGGCTAGAGATTTCATTTCTCTTTCTTATGGCATCTGTGCAAAAGTGTGTGAGGCTGCGGGTGATTTGTCATTTCCCCATACAGCGATCTGTTTTACACCCGATTCCACCCCAATACATACCAGTATACATTTATATTCATGGGTAGAGAGAAACAAAGGTAGCCTAAAAACACAAGTAACTGCGCAGCGAGTGTTTTAAACCCTATCCTCAAGGTTAACAGTACAAGCCACAACCGTTGAGCCAACCGTTTCCTTGTACTTACATAAACTTCAAATTATATAGCATGGCCATAAGATGCCGTACTATTAGAAATGCTTAACAACATTGACACACTGTTACATGGAATTATTTATTTTTTTTATTTTTTATTTTTGGAAGAGGCCTACAGTACCGTGCTCCCATCTTTCTGAACTATATTTTATTATCTTCTCTCTTTTTTCTATATTTTTTTTTTCTGGTAGTAGGAGCGGCTAGTCACAGTGTTCAATGGATCCGCCCCTGATGAAAATTGATTGGATTATTTTTTTTTATATAATGCTTATTTAATTAGGCCTATATTGGCAAACTTTCATCTTACATGAACCTATATGCACGCTAATACAAATGCACGTACGTAATTGACGATTTATGCATAGGCCCAATAATACGTTGCACGCAAACAATATTCAAATGTGTGTGCAAAATACGAATTTATTAGGTGCATTATAATCACACGATATTTGTTGACATTGTCTAATAATAGTCTTTTCAGACTTAACAATTTTCTAGTATTTTATAATATCGATTTTGTCCTGTGCATCTACATTGTTCTGTCCTAATACCTCTCACCAACATTACCACGAAATAAATAAGTAGTTATTGAATGGTTTTGCAATCACAAAACTTCTACGTTCAACCCACATATTAATAATATCTCTCTTATATCCATTATTGTTCCTGACAAAATGAAATTTGAAAGGTAATCGTCATCTTTAAGAAAGGAAATAACATCATAAAAATGTGTACACACGGATTTTGACTTTTTGGCTATAGTCTGGCTTGGTACGTTTACAGAGAAAAGAAATAATGAAAAGATTCCAAGGTTTACCGGTGTAATTTACAGACACGTTTTACTGCCAATTGTTCTGTGTCCTTATTCAATAGGCTATTATAATAATATTTTGTTCCCGTGTACCTACAGTTCTATTCTACCTACCTGTTAAATCAAGATTACCACGAATTGAATAAGCAGTGGAATTGTTGAATAGTGAAAGACTTCAATGAAGAGCCCTGAGATGACTGCGTCTCTAATGATTGTGGTTTAAAAATAATGTTTCGGCAATCGCAAAACCTCTAACCCTATCAACATCTCTTTGTCTAATTGCTTTCCTGCCCTTCTAGGCTCCAAATTTCTCGCTTCATTTTGTCCCTTTGCTTTGCCTTTCATACAACCTCACACGTGATCCCGCCACATCCTCTCCTTCTGACATTAGAACAGCTCTTCTTATAATAGGATTCTAAATTTTTATTATATGCTGTTGAAAAAATTATAACAAGGCATGTAGACTATTGTACACTGTATTTATTTTCGGCCAGTTGTCTAGCCTTCATCAGCTTTACTAAATGCACAAGATTGGCTGTTGCAAGTGAACTATTAGATAATTGGCCTATAATCCGTCTACATCACAAGTGTATTGTTTATAATGTACAGTATAAAATAAATACAGTGTTCAATAGTTTACCTGCCTTGTCATAATTTTTAGTTCATTGGAACAGCAAAGTTTTCCAATGTTTGCCCTACTTTGGTATCTAGGATAAGTCACAGTCGGCATAGCTGGTTTTGAATATCAGCAAATATTGTGACAACCGTGTGGTGGCGTCAGAATAGCCAATTTAACTCTGAAATGGAAGGGGCGCTTCCAGTGCGCATGCTCTTCTCACAAATCGGGACCTCCACTGTCGACCGGGTGGTCAAAAGCTTCAAAGTTTAAATAAATTTGAATACATATGACCGATATACAAGAAACTTTGAATTATTATTATTTGAATTTAAATTTGTTAAAATTCTTTTTAAGAGAAGATACTACAAACATGCGGGTATTAAAAAATAACATAGATTTCTATTTTGACTATAGAACGCGATCTGATTCTGTACATAAAGTATTAGGCTTACAAAATTCTCTTACTAGCAGGCCCTAGCATCAGTTGCGTAGGGATCTGGAATGGAAGGGAGCTGATAGGGGTCAGAAGGTGGCGGATCGGTGATTAGGTGAAGGGGCTAACTCGCAAAATGTGGTGATTTGATGTGATTGTTAACTACTTAAGCATGATTTTTGGGCGGGGGGCTACTAGTGGATGGGTGTGTATTTTTTTCCAAGGGAGGAGTGGAGGGGAAAGGGGGTGGGCATCTTATATATGCCAATACCTAGCATACCCTGCAATTTAACATACGGTCCGCACACAATAGCTACTAACCGTCTCACATCGTGCGGGACGCTCCCGCATTTAAAAGTAATGTTGGATAAAACACGCATTTTGCAGAAACACATACATGATCATAAATGTGTCACATGTATTTAGCACAAGACTATGCGTGATAATGAATATCACGAATTTAGGGGAAAATGTATTTAAAATTAGAAGAAATCGGTTTTATTAAAAATATAAAAACGTACAGTATACGTGAATATTTCGTTCACTGACGCGTTACTGAAAATTTATTATTCCTATTATTTTTTTGTTTGAGTAATGAAATGTTTGTGTACATAGCTCGTACAAACACTCCCTGAAATCGTTTTACAACAGCTTCAAAATACTCAGGTCGTCGGAGCGCTAGGGAGCTTCGATCTCCCCAAGACTCCTGTGGAGCCCTGGCGCCCCCTCCCCTTCTAGCCTACGGGTGTAGTCACTCATGCATTTCAAATCTCTCAGGTTGGTTACTATGGGTCCGCCACTGATGCAGTATTTATATTTATTGTTGTACAGTACTGTATTGTTATTGTGTTTGGCGGATAATAGTTCTTGAAAGCTGATGAAGCAATAAAATTTAATGAATTGTATAGTATTGTTCCTGATAAGGTGAAATTTGCAAAAGTAATACCTATCATTAAGAAAATGTATCATGTCTTTCTTTCTAGAGAAAATAATGTACACAGACTCCTTTTTCAATGTACTGTAAGTGGTATCTTTACTGATTCACAATTTGGGTTCAGGAAGAAACACACAGTACCCCACCCAGTATTTTGGCCACAAATGCCACTTATTAAAAAAAATCTTTATTCTGGACTACTCCAATGCTTTGACACTCTTGATCATTATTATAAAGATCAATTAGACCTTCTGTCATATATAATTGTGTGGGTAATGATGATATCATGTAGAGTACCAATACAATACCACCAAAAATCATTCCATGCAGAGTCTTAATGCAGTTGCGATGTGGTCCTCATCTTGGTAAAATGACGGTAAGTGAACTTTGTATTTCTATCTGGATTTTCAGTCAAAACGTTCTCTAAATCGTGTCTGTGTCATTCCGTCAAATTTGGACAGTTACACAGCACTAGTTCGTATTAATGTGATGGTTTAATGTTCCCTATGAGGCCATATTTCTCACCCTTTGTTAAAAACTAAGGTTTTTCCTTTTCTTTACAAACACCAGACACAAACAGCAATAGCATAATCAAGGGCAGATTTAGGGAAGGGGCCCCTTTTGGAATTTTACCAAAAAAAAGACAAAAGAAAGAAAGAAAGAAATAGAAATAATTGATCGGCAGAAATGCCTCAGAGGTTATTTTCGGGCGTCTAGAAAACAAACAATTTGTGGGGCATGCCCTCGTATCGCTTAGGTTGTGTTGTATCAAACAGGCCCCACTTTCGCCGCCCCCCCCCCCCCCCCCACTGACAGTCTCTGGATCTGCCCCGATATTGAGCAAGCAATGAAGCCGCCAGTGTTATCACAGTCCAATAAACCACTTGCCAAAACGATCATTGGTTCAAAACCTCATCAAGCTATCCCTACACTTGCTCAAGAAGTTTGAATCGTCCAACTTGTGGTTCTGGCTCGATATGTACAAATGTCCGAACCAATTTTTCCTCCGGTAACGTTGGAGCAACATCTTTTGTAAACGCATCAATGGGGGCCGGTATCCACTGTTCACGTGTGAAGTACACACGTCCAGCTTCCATTGCAAATAATGTTCTATCACGTCCTTTTCCAACCTGCAACAAACAGCACGAAGTTTGATTTTAAAAAATATATATATGTTAACTGTATTATTATTACAGTATTAATTTGATTTAGTTCCTATAATGATTTTGGCAACGTCAAATTTTAGTTGTAACATAAATGTTTGTTTAGTGCTAGTCAAGACCAAATGTACATTTTTTTTTTTTCGGAATTATTGAGTCTCAAGTATTTGAGACCTTGAAAAGGGATGTGGAGGAATGGAAATAAATCTGCAATCCAAACAAGTCTGTCCTCTATATACCGCCCTTGAAACCACTTGTTGTAAGCACCTTACTAGCAAGTGTTGTCATTATTCGGACTTATTCCTCAGAGTAGCATGGAGGAGGAAAATTTCATCATATCTGCCCCAATGTAAACATAAAAATCAGTCCATGCAAATTTTTTCCCAAAATTATGCCTTAATCTATGTCTCAATATATACTAAACTAAATGATTATACCAGCACTAAGCACCTTTCTATCATACAACTATTATCTGCAACAAATTCCCAAGGATTATGGAGGGGAAAGACGGAGGGGGGAAGACGGCAAAAATATTTATGGATAAAGAGAAACAAAGGTAGCCTAAAGACACAAGCAACTGCACAGCGAGTGTTTCAAACCCCTAACCCTAAGGTTGATAGTACAAGCCACAACCATTGCGCCAACCGCTACACTTGTGCTTACATAACTTCCTGGCAACCAACGATAAGCACCTTTCTGTCGAACCAGTATCATCCCAACCTGCACATATTCCCCTGCACAAAAAGAAAAGAAAATTAAGATTGTTAATCACTGGTCAAAAATAGTACATACAAAGATGCATACAATAATAATCTAATAATTTTTTTTATGTGCCTTACCATCACGCTTTTTTAAGCCAAGACGTTTTCCTCTACGTTTTCCTCCTGTGTTTCTTTTACTACTGCTTGCTTTTTTTGATGCGCACCTCACAGGTAAAACTGATGCTGCAACCGTTGGCAATTTGTATGCTTGCTGTAAAATTGAGTTGAAGAATACACCTGTAAGAAAATAAATTAAATAAATATTCTGTTAGATAAACCATGTTGCCACACTTGTTTTTATTTACGGTAAGCAAAAAATGTCTGAAATTAATAAATTATAGGTATGAGATTTTCACTTGATATTGTAAGGCTATATACATTTAGGTCTGTAAAACTCCACTTAGGTTTAATCTGCAGTGTAGCTTTTAAAAAGTGCACTGAATTACTGAGTCAAGGGAGCATGGCCCTGAGATCAATCAAACATGAATATTTAGTCAGCTTTAGTATTATTATGTCCTAGGAAAAGGCTAGCCTTATAGGCTTAAATATGATACGACTTTTATTTCCATCAAAATTCAATAAAATTACATCATGATAATAAATGAGATATGGATTGAGGAGATACAACGAAAAGCAAACAGCCTGTAAATGCAAAAAAATCAAATGTGATTGAAACATTTAATGAAGAAACAAAAGATAAAGGCTAAACCTTAAGCGCTGTAGAACTGAAAATACTGTAAAAACCCAGTGGACTTAATCTTGAGATATGAAGCCCATCTTGAATTGAAGCCCCCCCTCTTTAGTTTGCAAAATTAGCCTCAAAAAGAAGCCCATGGATTGCTTTTCAAGATAGCATAGGCTTCTTTTCGAGATTGTACAGTGCATATGCTGTACATGAAATTCAGAAAACAAAATAAATTTAATACCTTTGTTTAAACAGTAGTTTAGGTGATTTAATGCCAGTTAAATACACTCCATCATATAGATTGATGTTACAGTGTCCTTATTTATATTGTTTCATAGTACAAATTCACAAAATTTAAAGCATTCATTATGCATAGAAGCCCCCCTCCCCCTATTTACTTTGCAAAAGTAGTCTCAAAAAGAAGCCCATTTCGAAAAGAACCCATACAAAGTTCGCAAAAAAAGCCCAGGGCTTCAATTCCGAGGTTTTACTGTAGGTGGTGGTACTTACTATAGACTTTTTAATCATAATATGCCTAGGCCTTTACTAGGGAATGCAGTCAATTCGAGAGGATGATACTTCAAGCGAATAATAGTTTGAGCGGATGCCAGTTCCAGTGGATGAGTTTAGTGCAAACTATAACCAGGACAAATGATGAGATTTTTTTTTTTTTTTTTTTTGAATGCAAAAATACACTGTGATTTAAGGTTTTGGTAATTCAATAAAGTGGGGGTGCTCAATAATTAAGTGAAAGGACATTAGCTCACAAAATAAGGTGACTATAGTTATTTGTTAACTGCTTGAGCATGATGTTTTTTGCTTCAAACATTTTCAATGGAGCGGCGAATGGGGGGGGAGAGACGAGCTTTTCGTGGGGGAGGAGGGTGGCTGGCCGTGCGATACACCACTGCTATGTGTAAGACCCAGATTGTATAGCAAGGCCTGCGTGCACAAAAATTTAGCTTAGAAATCCGCATTTCGGGGAGAATTGGGCTTTGACTAATCTTATTTATGTGTTATGAATTACGATTCTGCACACCAATTTTCCATGCAAATTTGAGTTGACTTTTTAGGTATGCCTTAATTAAAAAAGGTACAGTATGGTGTGTACAGAGTAAAACAGCTGAGTTATAATATAGCAAATTTGAATCCGAAGAGGGCGAACAATTATCAAATTAAATGTTGAGTCAAAGTCAGAAATTCGCACAACCAAGTTCGCAAAACTGATCCTTTTTACGCAGTACTAGACTTATAGAACTAGAAGTGGAATCCGCTCAAAAAAGTAGCATAGGCTTACACTCAACCAACGATAAGCACCTTTCTGTCGAACCAGTATCATCCCTACCTGCACATATTCCCCTGCACAAAGTCAAAGTCAGAAATTCGCACAACCAAGTTCGCAAAACTGATCCTTTTTACGCAGTACTAGGCCTAGACTTATAGAACTAGAAGTGGAATCCGCTCAAAAAAGTAGCATAGGCTTACACTCAAACTAGCATTTGCTCGCATTTTAACTGGTGGTTCCTTTACTAGATAGTAATTGTATCTCTATTTAATATTAGGAGGCCGGTTCCCTTACTAAGAGTAGACGGTAACTCTATTAGGAGGACTGACTCTAGGGCCCAAGGCCTATAGTTAGGCCCTTCTTGCCTCATATCTAGGCCTAGGCCCCTAGCCTATGCCGGGCCGCGCCTAGGCCTAGTATAATATTCTGGCCTAGTAGGAGCCTATGGGCCTAGAAGCCTAAGCTGGCTTGGGCTAGCTAACCGCTTATCGTAGACAATACGTTATGAAATTGATTACCTTTCCCTACAGAAAAGGCATTTTTAACTCCTAATATTGCCTGCATGTTGGTGACAAAAAAGTCCTAAATTTTTGCCAATAGCGCCCGCAATCATCTGAAAACTCTCATTGCAGGTGGTGGCGGTGTTTATATTTACACGTTTGTTTTTGATGTGGTCCGGTCAATCACGAGCTACCTGGAGCTAGGCCTAGCTACGTACTTACTAATAGGTGCAATTTACTGACATTTTTTACATAATGGCGGTGGTTTTTGATGTACATTTGTTCAATGTCGTTGTTCTAGGTTTAGCATTTATGTTTTTATTTACTGCGTTCCAGACAAGTTCGATGATTGAGGTAAATTTGTTTAGGAATAATAATAAGTCCTTCCTAGTAGAGAGAAGGCCTAACTAAACTAACCGAGGACCTAGGCCTAGCTAGGCCGGCCTAGGCTAGGTCTAGCTAAGGCCTATCTAAGCAACCCTACTTAACATAGGCCCAGCTATCGGAGATAGCGCCTCCGTATCCTAATAAAAGTTAAAACAAAAAGTCCAGCCACGTTACCTAGGCCTACATTGCTATTGTGTAGACTGCTCACTGACTGTATAACTTAGTAGGTCTAGGCCTAGTAGGGCCTAGCTAGTAGGCCTAGTAGTAGTAGTAGTAGCCTAAAGTGTCAGGCTAGCTAGGCCTAGAGAAAACTGGCCTAGGCCTAAACCTGGTTGGAGTGTCAATGACATTTGATTTACCTTCAATGTTGTAACCCAACCTCCGTAGTAACTCACCATACAGTATATAACGCTACTCTAAGTTATTCAAGTGGCGTCGAGGGCTGGTGGGTCACTTCCCTTTTAGTCTAAATCCCATCTCGTCTTCTTATGCATTATCTTAAACTGTAAGGTACTTTCAGCTCCCTCCACAACATATAGGGTGTTCACAGGCAAACATATGTTATATGAATTAGACTTTCTAAATGGTTTATTCTGAAAGAGAATTTAATGCTGAGTAAAATAGTCCAAACCCCATCAAATTATCTTTTTTACTTATCGGGTTATGAAATAAAACGTGATCGATGGTCGAAGAAAATTTTGGGATCGAAATTCAGATAATCCTGTATGTTGGTAGACCATGAAAATGGTCATTTTCTGGCTAACTGTAGGCAATAATTAACAAAAAAACACTCATAAAACCTTAATTATTCATATTTATTGTATAAAATTATATATTTTCACAAAGCAGTAACATTCAAGATTTTATTTTTTTAACCGATGAACAAAATAAAAATGGCGGATAGGCTCAACATGGCTGCCGAATTCAAAATGGTGGCCAAAATAAAATATATATATATATTTGCATTATTATAATAAATGCTGTAATAACATCAAAAGATTTGTGAAATAGTGATTGGATCTATTATTAAAAAAATTTAAAATGGCTGCCACATTGAAAATTGCCGCCATTTTAAAAATGGCCGCCATATTAAAAATGGCCGCCATGTTAAAAATGGCCACCATGTTAAAAATGGCTGCCATAATGAAAATGGCCGCCATATTATGCTGTCACATTAACAAAAAAAAATTCTGAACCCTTTGGAATTTTAAAGTTGAAACGGTGGTTTGACCTATAATTTAAAATTCAAAATGGCTGCCAAATTCAAAATGACTGCCAAATTCAAAATGGCCACCAAATAATAATATAATCTTAATGTACAGGGTAAAATCTATCCCCGCCAGACACCATCCTGTTATATTTTAGTCCACGTTTCAGGGCCGGAATTATAAGATTATAATTTTGCAATATTACATGGTAAAAATTCCCCACCGGACACCATCTCGGTATTTTTTAATCTACTTTTCGGCAGTTCTTCTTTTTGAATTTTATCTCCAATTTAAATGTCCAATTTAATTTCAATCAAATTTTATAATCAATTAATAAATTAAGTCAATTAAAATTCTGTACAAATAAACTAGAGAAAGAAAAACATTTATTATAAAATACAGTGTCAATTCAAACATTCTTTTGTAATAATATGGTATATATGAAACTAATACTATTATAGGCCTAAAGTGCTGAACTGTAAAGGGCTGTGCTCTGCTGTTCAGCCTGCATAACAATGCTGTCACGGTTGGGTGAGCATAACTTTCCTAGGCCTATGATTGACTTAAAAACATGCTGTCTTTAAGATCATTTTTCTACCTTTTAAATACATCTTATAAACTTCTAACTTGTGTTTACAAGACATTATATTTTTATAATTATTTACCAACTTGGGTGAGTTGATTCAGTGAAGTTTATTTTTTCCAAAGTTTCTGACAAAATTTGTCACAGTTTTAAAAGTATCCACACCATCAACTAATTGCAAACACCAATTTGTAGGTCTAGGTGTCAGCTTTCAGAAAAGCTATTGAAAAGCAGCATTTTTATTGGTTAAGAGTTTGACCTGACCAAAAAACTATATTGACCTCAGAGAACCAAGGAGAAAAATTCACTCAAAAAGTGCTAGTGTGTGAAACCCTATACTGTAAGCAGAGATTTGGTAGGCTTACTAATTTATAAACTATTATTGTGGCAAAACTACTAAAGTGAAGTTAATAAAACTTACAGATATGATAGAAACAACCTTTCTCTCACTAAAAGTGAAAGAATTATGTTGATAGACCTTCTACAAGTGGAGAAATATTAATTTATGTGGGAGATAGTCAATTTGAATTGCAGTTTCCTGCACGTTTTACTGGTGGTGTGAACACCCTACAACATAATTAAACAATATAATTTCAATTTTCTATATCATACCAACATCAACAAAATTCAAAACTGTTCATTCAAAAGTTCTTACTGTACTGACAAAACAGACAGTTTTTTAATGATTTTATAAATTATAACTAGAAATTGCAAATTGCAAGTGAAGTGCTGCGATGTACAACTGCATATAAATGTTCTTCAAACAAAATTATTTATGCGAGTCAAGTGAAATTAATGAATAATAAAAATATAACAAATAATATGAGACACGACCCATTGTCTATATTAGGCCATGTAAAATAAAATAATAGCATCCCCTCCCTACCATCAAAAAGGCCACCGACCCGATTTTTTTTTTTTTTTTTTTTTTACAATACACTCACAAACTCAATTTAATATAGGTTTGTTTACCACCCGTCCGCACACAGCCAGTCCACTTGCAGTTCTATGCTCTACTGTTGTTCTATAGGCCTATACTGTAGCCACATGGTATCCATAATGCCTGTTGTGTTGAGGAGTGAATTGTGCATGATTACATAGAGATAATTGCATTATGACGCTGTTATTCATAAGTAAAGTTTCTGCTTGCTATAGATGCTTGTATGTAATTTTGGTCTCTCGTTTTATTCTTCCTTTTTTTTTGCTGTTTTTCCTTGCGAAACTCTTTTTTTTTATGTTCGATGCAAAAAATGTAAATAAAAAAAAACCTCCCTACCATGAAAATTGATAACATAAGGATGCTAACCAATTGTTTTATTTTACATGGTCTTAGAACACTTCTCATTGGGTAACAAAGTCGTAATTTTTCATTTTTGTCAAAAGTGTCTATAGTGGTGAATTATGGTTTAGGTTTTTTTTAATAAAGTTTCAAAAATTTCTATGTATGTGGAAAATGTAGTTGATTACCAAAGGTTACAAT